AACGACACTTGTACACCTCACACCATCCGAGCACGCTCTCGACAGAAAAATTCAATAACTGATTTTTTTATTTAATTTTTTATTCCTTACAAAGCGTAAGGAATAAAAATGTACAAGAATCCGGCAAAAATTACATCACTCGATTTTAAATTAAGGCACGGATTCTTCAAACAATACACACAGTTTAATAGCTTAATTCAATAGATCGGTATAAGTTTTCAACGTAGCTCGCATACAAAATTAAAAAGATAGGTACTTATCATTGTTTACATTAGCACATGGCAGTATCATGCTGAGTTCCCGAATGGTGAGGCCCATTCGGCATGCCACACTTAGTTTCCTCGCACACACTGTTTGATAATTAGACGCGGCTCAGAAGGGAAGTTGGTGTGTAGTTCTTCAAGAGAGCTTTGTCGCATTTCTTGAAGAACAAGACCACCGCACCTCTGCTCCACGCTTCCGGAGCAGTGTCAACATGGAGGACGGAATTAAAGAGCTTCTCAAGGACTTCAAGTACTGGTTTTCTACCCAACTTGCGCTGTATTTCCATACTCGCCTGGGGCTTTGTCGTTTTTAACGTGCTGGAGAGCCATTCTAATCTCGCTCAGACTGACATCCAGGATATCATCGAAGTGATGAGTGTGAAGTGTGTCGGATAATACTTGTTCCTGGATTGTTACTCACACTTGGTTGTGGCTCCAGTGATGACGCACAGCTGCTCATAGAACCTCTCAATCTCACTCAAAATTTCAGGTATCCCGGAAACGAAGCTATCACATTCAGTGTTCAGCTTTGACAGTTGGCTCTTTCTGGCAGACAGATCTCTGGTCAAGACTTTGGAGCCCTGGTTTAGTTCGATCGCTTCTCCAATACAAGCTGTATTGAAGTTTCTTAAGTCCCGGCACATGTATTTGGAGATCTGTCTGTTCACATGCCTGTATGCTGTCAAATCTGCTGAAGACTGCAGCTTCATTTAGACTGTCTAACAGCCATGAGATTAAAAGTGTGATCGAAGAGTTTTTGTGTTCTTCTGCGACAGGTCTTGAAGAACTTAGCTCCGAACGCATGGACAGTTTCTACGATCTTGTCATTCATTGATTCAAGAAGACTGAAATGAAGTGGACGATCCACTTCATTTCAGTCTTCTAGGCAATGAAAACGATTTTATAACTTACATATCATGTTGTACCTAAATCAAGTATTTTGTAACAGAGCTAAGGGCAGCATTAGTTGAAAAGTTTAGTAAGAACTAAATTTTTGTGAAGTAGACGTAACATTATCATTACACTCCTACCTACATTATCACTCAGAAATTTCTTAATAATTTCTGCCTTTTTACGTTTTGCTACATCATTTTATGTAAAAAAAAACGATTATAATAAAATAAACAAAACTTAGATAGGTAAGCCATATTAGTTACCTGTAAATATTTATTTTTGATCCAATAGAATCCGCTCTCTCTAAAACGATAAGCTTTTGATCGTATTGTAACACACGGAGAGGTTACAATACTTAGGTATATGACAATTTTAATCAAAAATAATTATCACAGCGGTGAGTGATGTGCTCGAAATTGCGAGCAAAATAGTAAATTCCCTTTCCTGTATAGGACAGTTACTATACTGTTTGATTCCCTTATAGTGCTCGTCTAGATGCGAGTAAAGACGTCATCGCACTTTATCCAGCCAACCGAATTTTGATGGGAACATCACGCGCGAAAGTGTACTTTTTTTAGAATCTCAGCCATTTTTTAAGATAGGAAAAAATTAAAAACACAATTTTTCTTGTACTTTTCTCTAGTTTTGTACTAAACACAACAAAAATCGTTAGCTTTGTCAATTTATGACGTCATTAGGAGGTAGGGGCGTATCTACCGCCGTATCAGCCGTATCAATGATACGGGGCCCCCGGTCTTCAGAGGCCACGAACGTATGTAAGCAAACATTCTAAAGACTTGTATGGGACAGAATGTTGGTTTTAGTAAGTAGTAAGTATTAATTGTAAGTAATAACTTATAATCAATACATAATTATTTTAATTCAATGCGAGCGTTTTTGTTCCTTTTGTGAAAAATCTTTACCCTTCATTTGCCCCCCCCCCCCCCCCCGACAAATGTTGATACAGGGCCCCTCTAAGGCAAGCTACTCCACTGTTAGGAAGCAAAATAAAAGTAAATTAATTTCACAAATATTTAATAAAATAAATGGCTACACACGAATTCGTGTTCCTGTGTAAATATTTATTGTACCTACGTACACCCTACAATCTTAATTTCAAGCTTTCGTGGGGAATGGGTGTTTCTAGTTGGTGGTGTGGAGCTTGGTATATTACAGAGGCAGCAGTTAAATCTTTGATATTCACGGCAAACCGTTATCACCGATGATAAATTGAAAACGTTTTCACTCTCCATACATTTTAATACAATTTGCTCTTCTAATGCACCGTTACGGTAAATCGTGTCGTGCCTTGCCGTTGGATGGTTAAAATAAAAAGGCAGCCAACAATTATATTTTATGCTCTGCGGTTGATATGTAGTGATCAAAGAGTATATAATAACCCCGAAGAGATTTTAAGAACACTACATAATTTATTACTCGTAAGGAGCCACTGTAATGCCGTCATTTGTGATCCTCATGAAGCCAAATACATACATATGTTAGAGCGGATCCAAAATAAATTTATTAGATTCTTATACTTAAAGCAATTCGAAGTGTACCCGGGCTATCCCTTGTTGTATCCTACTCTATATTTACTCAGTATGCTAGGGTACTACAAGCTCGAAGACAGAAGAGAAGTCGCTCTCTCCGTTTACGTGTTGAAGGTGATTAGAGGTAGAATACACAACCCAAGAGTGTTGGAGATGGTGCGACTGAATGGCGGTAACGCGCGCGCGCACCGCACTGATCCAGCTCAGCGTTACGTGTGATGAACACCATGTCGGAGTGAACTGATTTATTTTCATGTTCGCTGAGTGAGCTCAGTAAAATCGCATTTCATACTGTATCGTTGGCTACATTGTCGAATTAGGGTGGTCACCCTATAACGATTGTAACGTATGTTGTATGTGTGTATAAATAAATAAATGTATAAAAATATTACGTGTAGTGATTTTTTATTATTTTTCTTTGGCTTTAGTACAATTTACCTACACGTCGAGTTTTGGCGGGAACTTGAACGGTGGAGGATTACTGCTCTTGTATTATTGTTTCGTTGGAGCCATACTCAATTGTGAGTAACGACCCAAGAGCGAGTCTTATCCGACACTATTCCGAAGATATCCTGGACGTCAGTCTGAGCGAGATTAGAATGGCTCTCCAGCACCTTAAAAACGGAAAGTCCCCGGGCAAGGATGGAATTACAGCGGAGCCTCTGAAAGCGGGCGGAAAACCGGTACTTGAAGTCCTTCAGAAGCTCTTTAATTCCGCCTTCCATGGTCGCACTACTCCGGAGGCGTGGAGCAGACGTGCGGTGGTCATGTTCTTCAAGAAAGGCGACAACGCTCTCTTGAAGAACTACAGACCGATTTCCCTTCTGAGCCGCGTCTACGTGCTGTTTTCGGCAGATTGTACAGAAGACAAAGGACTATAATCTGCCACTTTGCTTGATTTGCTTCCATCGAAATTTGGGCGGTGCTGCAGTCCTTTCAGCGGTGCCAAATTGACTGTCGGTATATCGAAGTGCTGAAGTGTTTGTACAGTAGAGCTACGATGGCTATCCGAGTACAGAATCAGAGTACGAAACCTATCCAACTGCAGAGAGGTATAAGACAGGGTGACGTTATATCCCCGAAACTCTTCAACGCTGCATTGGAAGACGTTTTCAAGCTGCTGGACTGGAAAAGATGCGGTATTAACATCAATGGCGAGTACATCACTCACCTTCGATTTGCCGACGATATAGTCTTTATGGCAGACTCGCTGGAGGACCTAAGCACTACGCTCAATGACCTCAATAGTGTCTTCCAACGGATAGGTCTTAAGATAAACATGGACAAAACAAAAATCATGTGTAACGTCCACGTCACACCTGGACTATGCTGGTAGTTGTTGGGAGCACTAAGCTCGAAGTTGTTGAGGAGTAAAATAGTTCGACTAGGTAAGTCCAATTCGACCGAGAGGTCAATCGACGAATTCAACTCGGCTGGCAGCGTTCGGGAAACTATGACGCATTTTCTCGTTAGACATACCTCAAAACGAGAGGGCTATGCTCGGGGTTTCTCTGCTTAATAAACTTAGAAATGAAGATATCCGCAGTAGAATCGGAGTAACCGACATAGCCCAACGGATTAGTAAGCTGAAGTGGCAATGGGCTGGCCATATAGCTTGAAGAACCGACAACCCGATGGGGAAGAAAGGTTCTTGAGTGGCAGCCTCGTACCGGTAGGCGAAGTGTAGGGCGACCCCCCACGAGATGGAGTGACGACCTGGTAAGACGTGCAGGAAGTCGATGGATGCAGGTGGCTCAGGACCGTGCTTTGTGGCATTCCTTGGGGGGGTTCAGCAGTAGACTTATGAAAGGCTGTAATGATGATGATGAATGGTTTGAAGTGGATTTTGATATGTATAAATAGTGCGATTTCGTTTATTATATGTCTGCACATGTGAACTATTAGTGGAAACGGTGAAACAAGTGCTCTGATGGTGATGTGATTCTCAAGATAAGGTGTCTGTCTGCTAAGACATCTTGAGATACCATCACCAACTGTCAGCTGTCTGCTGGCTTAAGTTGCCGTCAAAATCTCCCAAGGGGTACACAATATGACGCATAACATGTTGTGAAGCAGTGTACTATGAAGTATGATGGATAATTATACATTGTAACTTCAGGTTCAGAAGAGCTAGAACCCAGAGCCGTAAAGCCAGTTATTAAAAAAAATACCTACACGTCAAACGCGTCAAACGTCAAATCATCACAAATCAAAATCATCGTAGGTACCATATGGTATCGATACTATTTGAAAATAATTATTTCTATAAAAATTATAAACTAAACAGTGCATCATGGTGCTGGATCTAGATTTATTTAGGGCTGATAAAGACGGCGACCCCGAAAAAATTCGAGAAAACCAAAGAAAAAGGTTTAAAGATGTTGCATTAGTTGATACTGTTGTGGAACAGGACCTGCTATGGAGACGGCTGAGACATGAGGCTGATAATTTAAACAAGTTAAAGAATGTGTGTAGCAAGGAGATAGGACTAAAAATGAAGAACAAGGAGCCTGTAGGTCCAGAAGACCAAAATGTACCAACAGTCGTGGCAGATAACCTTACAAATCTTACAGCAGAACAGCTCAGGCCATTAACTGTTAATCAAATTAAAAAAGTTAGTACTGTATTCTTAAAAATAAGTAATCTTGATAAGGTCTAGTAAAATATTTTTTTTTATGGAAAAAATGTTGGAAACAGTCATTGAGATGGAAATCATAACTGGTTTTGTGCACTGGCGAAGCTAGGGCTCCAAACTAGGGCAAGCCCAAGATATGTTTCTGTTTGTTTTTAGCAGTTTTATAAAAATTTACCTTTTCTCTTTTTCTATTTTACCTTTTCCTCGCCGATTTGCACTTCGATTCATCACAAGAAACACTATTATCCACCATTTTCACTAAAAATCTATAAAATTGTATAAATTTCCAACTCAATATTGCGAATTTCATTTGCTCAAGTAAACACACAGAATAAACATTGGAATGTGAAGTTGAGAAGTGAACTTTGCAAAAGCACGCCCCCATGCTCGACAACTTCACACTGAAAGCCTGGCTCCTGATCTCCATACTGATTGCTATATAAACAATCTTAGTTATATTTCATTATAGAACATTTTGCTACAGGTTAGAAAGGGAGTGATCGTCTTCTCGAAAGCCTGGTAAAAAGCCCACACGTGTTAGAGAGATGACTAATTGCTCAACTCAACTCGTTTTTTATGACAGCAGTATCGCGCAGTAAAGCATTTATCTGCCAATTGTTGACGTTACATAATAAGGCTACGAGGTCACGACCTTTGTAGAACAAAGGAGCGCTTTGAAACAGTTAATGAGTTATTTTATTAGTTGATATTATTAATAGGGCAAGCCGGGCTTCTCGGCTTGTATGGGAGCTTCGCTACCGGTTTTGTGGTATTTATAGTGTGATATTTATAAAGTATGTTCGTATCCAATTTTGAAAATGAAATTTAAATAAGTTTTACATTGAAGTATTTTATCTTCTTTATTGGACTGTAAAAGTTCACTTCTGGATATGGGCCTTCTTAATTGTAGGGAAGAATTGGATGGGTCGCTAAAATATATGCTATTAACGAAATTAAAACCTTGACAATGTTATATTTTAAATTTTTAAAAGATTTGGAATTGCGTCCAATATTCCATCTTAATTTTATAAATGAAAATACAAAAGTATACAGTGAAGTTTGTTTTAAATAATTCTACTATTATGACGTTTTGCCACAAGTTTTATTAACAAGATTTTATATACTCTTATTTACTATTATTATAAATAATATATCAAGTTAACGATAATCGCATCAGTGACAAAGCCCTTTATCTATGAATAAAAAAAAGTTAATGAGGATTAATTAAGTTCTTTGTTATTATGTAATATTTTAGGTAAGAGTGCTCATAGATGAAGCCATTACAAAGAATGAACAAGGCTTACTAACTGCTGAGAAAGCACGCTCTGCAGCCTTGAGAGAAGTAGGCAATCACCTTCATGCATCAGTGCCTGTTGATGATGACGAAGATCATAACCTTGTTGAAAGAACTCATGGAGATTGTACTGTGAAACAAAAATACTCTCATGTAGATCTTATATGCATGATTGATGGTGAGTTGTAAAATTAAGTATTTATTAATTTTACTCCCTTATCATAATCATTATTATAGCAATTTTTTAATAAAAATTAATTTTATTAAACTAAGTTTTATATTTTAGTCTTATAGTAAAATATTTTTTAATATCTTTCACCTAATATAGATCATTATATATATTATTATAAACATTATACAACTTGAAGAGGAAAAAGAATACTTTCAATAAAAATTAAATGTAGTCAGTCTACATTGAATAAAAAATTATTCTGAGGTTAGTAGCTTTGAGGGAAGCCTGTCAAACAAAATGGTTAAAAGTGGTTTTAGTAGCATCACAGAATATAAAAACAAGAGAAAGGCCAAAGTGGACAGGGAAGACATGTCACAATTCAGAACAGTATAGCGTTATTATGAACTGTCAGTGGCAGACTAATTTTGTGCCATATTGGAGTGTAAAAATGAAAGTAAAAAGGAAAATATTTTAAATGGAGGTGTTTTGTACCAAAGGCACATATAGTTTTTTTTTTCTTTTTGCATAGAAGCATGAATAAACATGGAAATAAATCCAAATTGCCTTTATTACAAGTAATATTCAACCTTTTTTAGTTTTAGTTTACAATGGTCTATATTATAACTGTCTACATTAGTATCCACATTTATCATTGTCTAAAATTAGTTATTAAATATTTTTTAAACAAATATGTTGTGTTAGTTCATGTACTTATGCAACTAAAATTGCTTAAATTATTGCTTTCTTTTACTCTCCCTGTTTCCATTTCTAAAATGATAATTTAGCTCACTGTTAATAAGTTCCATAAAAAACAACAAATTATATGCCGGCTATAGGAATTATGAGGATATAAATAGTACATCAAGGCATACATAAATTTTGTGATTATACTAATTTTATCATATATTTTTCCATACTTTAATATTCACACATATTGATAAGTCAGATCACGTTCAGGCAGAGTAACTACATCACTAACATCGTTCACATAGCAGTAACAGGCTAGGTAGGGCAAAGTCAATGTTATGTCTATTAGCATTTGTTACTATAACAGCGTGAATTTATTATTGCAACTAGATGTCGTCATGTAGCAAATTTTTTCATCAATCTTAGAAGCTTTTTGGATTTAGACATATAATGCGGTATTACTACAACATCTAACATTAAGGTGCTAAATGTGCTCATTATATGTATGATCTCTAATTTTAATAACTTTTGGTTCCTACTCAAGCGATTGGTGAAAGCTTTTCTCTTATTTACTAATAGCCAATCATGTGAAAATTATTGAAATGAAGCACAATTGTCAGTACAAATTTCTTTCTTGTGAATGTGTAAATTCGGTGACATTGTTGATACTTCCTCTTGTTTTTTATATTACATGTTATGGCATCAATGATGCTGCTCTTGTGATATTATGATGCCATAACTAATAAATATGCTACAGAAACAATTTTATAAGATTTTTAAGAAACTTTTTTTTTCTGTGTTAGTAAAATTTCATGTAATGTTTAAATTAACAGGTATGGATGGTGATAGGGGCTCAGCAGTGGCCGGTGGAAGAGGGTATTACTTGAAGGGTCCCGCTGTGTTCTTGGAACAGGCTCTTATACAGCTGTCACTTAGAATACTCTTGAATAAAGGTTACACACCATTGTACACTCCATTCTTTATGAGGAAAGAGGTAAATTTAATTTAAGATTTCATTTCCTCACCTATTCTGAAAAAATAATATCTGACATAATATAAATTAAAGGTAGATTTTATTTAAAATATACATATGTAGTAGAGCCATGCTGCAGCTATATTAGTGGTATAGTTGTAGCACGAATGGGTCGGCTCGACCAGGGAAGGACCACACTCTCACAGAATACCAGCGTAAAATAGCAGTGTAATGCTGCTGTGTTTCGTATGGTGAGTGTAGAGAACTGGAAACATTCCATCTTAGTCCTCACGGGTGACGACACATCTGCATTTTGATTCGTAATTGAGGATAGATGTAGATGTCTGTGGGCCACAGCAACCACTTACCATCAGGTGGACTGTGTGCTCGTTTGTCAGACTTATCCTATAAAAAAAAATCTATAGCTGTTTTTGGAACAAATTGGTTTTCTAAATCTCATATGAGATTGATTATTATTCATGCCCATAGGTTATGCAAGAAGTAGCTCAATTAGCACAATTTGATGAGGAACTCTACAAGGTAGTGGGGAAAGGTTCTGAAAACAAGGGAGACACTGTTATAGAAGAGAAGTACCTGATTGCTACTTCAGAACAGCCTATTGCCGCGTATCACAGAGATGAATGGCTTCCTGAGGCCTCTTTGCCTATAAGGTTTGTGTGATCTGCTTATAGTTTTGAGAAATGTTATATACACAAAATTCTTTGCATTTTAAGGTCACCTTAATATTTGATGGCTAAAATAATGCAGCATGGTCGTACTTAATAATTAGGAACTACATTAAAAGATACACGCCAGATCAAGTAGCAAAACAACTCATTTAATCAAATCTACCTTACACAGATATTACAATTTTACCCTCAACATTATCAATACATAACATACATAATTTCATAATTGCAGGTATGCAGGTTTATCCACTTGTTTTCGACAAGAAGTGGGCTCTCACGGCCGTGACACTCGTGGCATTTTCAGAGTACATCAGTTTGAAAAGGTATGTTTAACAATGATGATTATAGGCGTGTATACAAGTGCAACAATAATAATTACTACAGCAAAAATGCAGGTTGATTCACCTTTATGTATTATATTTAAAATTAAACTACAATTGATATATTACACCCTCTGTCACAAAAATAAACCGGAATAGCTATGAGAAAAGAAGACTAAAATCTCGCTCTTCGATCCTAAGCAGGGTCAGAATAAACATGCACCCAAAAGTACTAACCTTCCCAGCCCCAGCGGTGTTTCTGGTCTATGCTTCCATGTTTCGGCCGTGGATGATATTGAGAGCAGTGTGACCTGCCAGAGTCGCAGAGGGTAAGACAAGTGGCTCCTCGTTATACCAATACTTCTTTTCCTCCATCCACGTCAAGGCGGGAGGGATGGGTTCTAATCTAAGATTTTATTTTAAGTAAATTTCAATTTTATTATAATTATCAAATTATAAAATATCAAATAATATGAATGTATTATTTTAGGTCGAGCAATTCGTCCTGACTTCACCCCACGACGACGCATCTTGGAAGATGATGGATGAGATGATAGCTAATGCTGAGGAGTTTTACCAGACTCTTGGCATACCTTACCGTATTGTGAACATTGTTTCTGGTGCTTTGAATCATGCAGCAGCTAAGAAACTAGACTTAGAAGCCTGGTTCCCTGGTTCTGGTGCTTTCCGAGAGCTGGTTTCTTGCAGCAACTGTCTCGAATATCAAGCAAGAAGGTTACTTGTCAGGTAAACTACTTAGGTTATTATTGTGCAAAGAGTAAAAGAATTTGACCTTGCTTATTCTTATATCTAATCATAGCTTTACCCTTTTTTTTTTTCAAAGTAATTTCATTTACAAATACTCTAATGAACATATTTAGTGAGAAAAAAAACTTGATCCATATTTACTGCGAATTCATTATGCAAAAAGCCTAAAATAGTGTATTTTCTTAATATAAAATAGAATTTAAAGATAATCTATTGTTTTCAAGCTATCTATTTTTTTGTGTGTGTGAGTTTCAAGTATGTGTGATAACTTTTCATTTCATCCAGAATCTGTACTGAGAAGAAAAACTCCATTTTTTTTATAAGATTATGGTGACAAGCGAGCACACAGTGCACCTGATGGTAAGTGATTGCTATGACCCATAGACGTCTACATCTATCCTTGTTTGCGATTCAAAATGCAGGTGCGTTGTCAGCCGTGAGGGCTAAGAAGGAATGACTCTTTTCCAGTAAAAAGGGTCTCCGGTTCTCTACACTCACCATATGAAACACAGCAGTGTTAAGCTGCTATTTTACGCTGGTATTCTGTGAGAGCGTGGCCAATCCCTGGTCGAGCCGCCGACCCATTCGTGCTACAACTATACTATTAATGCAGTTGCAGCATGGCTCTGTCACATTTGTTTTGAAGTTATTTTATATTAGCCTACAATAGCAAATTTTTTTTAATACTTATACGCAAAAATAACTTAATATTTTAACTGATATACAGTAATATTGATTTATTTTTATTTGCTTGTAAAATTAATTTTGATCTACTGCAATTTTTGCTTGAATTATTTTGAGTAGTATAGAATAACAGAAAGTGAGTCCTTACGTTTGTGCATATAACTCATTTTTGATTTTATCTTCGGGTTAGTTCCTTTTTAGGTAACTACAGGAAAAAGTAAAAAACCTAAGGTGGGATATTTGATTAATATAAACACAATTCTAGAAGTGATGAAGCCTACTTCCATTTAAATGCATGTGTGAATAAACAGAATTGCCATTATGGGTTACCTAAAGGATAGAACCCACATTTAAAACACCAAAAGCAATTTCACAGTATAGTCAAGCAGAGGAATAACCGGACCCTATTTTTTGAGAATTTTCAATGGCTATCAATTACTGCGGATGGCGGAGCTTATGGATGCATGCTCAATGATTATTTACTGCCTCTCGCCTATTTAATTTCTTCCCACCAAAACAAAAAGTTATCCAAATTCTGATATGATATCTTCACCATAAAACATAAATCTCTAATAAAACATGTAATTTATCAATATTTAATATTTATTACAAGTATTTTTTTATGGTTATTCTTATATTCCATTGAAGAATAATTGATCCCAAAACAGCATAGTACAATAAACATACAATAACATGAGGGACACTTGAGCCATGGCCCATGTGCCCCCTCCCAGAAATAAATCCTAGATCCGCCATTGGTCACCAGATCTCACCTCCATGGATTTTTTTCTGTGGGAGATATTATTGAAAAATACTATTCAATTCACTATATACTTACAATTGAATTTATAGGTATGGTCAAACTAAGAAGATGAACGCAGCCACGGAATATGTGCATATGCTTAACGCGACAATGTGTGCTACAACCAGAGTCATTTGCGCCTTGCTCGAATGCAATCAGACGGAAGAGGGCATTAAGGTACTTCATACAACGTGTGTTTGTCCTTGTGCGAGTACGCGTGTGTGCGTGTGCGTGCATGCGTGTGTTATGTGCTTACACGTGGATGTATAGCTAACACCTAATGACAACTAACTTTTAACTAAGGAGACCACAGATGCGTTGTCACAACCTGTTAGTATACTGGCCCTTTTACTCTCGAAACCGTAATGCAGCAGTGGTGCACAGTAAATAAAGAATCTGATGCTTGTTATGAAACTATTCTATCGGGGAAAAAATAATATACAATTAATATAATTGCTTCTTTATTGAAACCAAGCCTGTTTCACTCCGCGCTTCAGGCATGAAAATATACCTACGCTGCTGCGGTCCCCTACAAGGTTTATTTTCATGGCTTCGCGCTTTACGTTAACAAATAAGTATTTTTGTCTTATGAGTATTTAGGCACTTTGGATATTTATTTTTGAGTTTTTATTCAAGTATGGCCTTTCTAAAAGTCAAAAGCTACTGCATAGCATAGGTTTAAATAACAATAGGAACGTTGACTTTTAATTATTTATGTTCCCACAGAATAAATAATAGTTCAAGAACTGTTTCTAACGATATCGAAAGGTAAGATATTATTATTTATTGGTAGATCTAGATAGTTAGGTACCTAGTTACTGACTCCATAGTTACAGATTTATTATTTGATTAGCGACCCAACCACAGTTTCGTAGTTTTCAATTTTTTCGCGTATAATGTCAATGACCTTAAAGGTTCAGTGTAAGTAGTAGTACTAGTTACTGCCTACTAATGCAAATTCAGCATATTATTCTGGTTATTAGTTAAACACTTGGTCGATAAAAAAAGAGATTGAAAATAGCAGCACTTCTCTTATTATTATTTAGTGTAAGACCTCTCAGTACTAGTGACTGCCTACTAATGAAAGATCAGCATGTACTGGTTATTAGTTTAGTCGTGTGTCGCATGTTTGTAAATAGCAAAAAATGTGATACAGAAAATGGTAAGTAGGTAAATTATCAAAGACGTTCACGTTGTTATAATGTTAATTTTTCTAGATGTTGCATATTAACCATCCTCACATTGAACAATAATGTTCTTATTATCATCAAATTACTTATACATTGCATAACACCTTGGTGTATTCTACCACCAACTAATATCAAAGGATTCAATTTGCTTTACTGTGACCTAACCTTACAATAAGCGGCCTTACCAAAGGTGCATTTTGATTTAATACGCGCGCCGCAACAATCGGTAGGCTAACTTCACGAAGCGCGCATCTGAAGTGTGCAAAGTATTATGAACATTAGTAACGTTGTAACTAGGTTTAAACTCGCAAGTTTGCTATCAGAGAGTGATTCTTTAGTTCTTGTACTATTATCTATTCTGTGCTGAAACTAAAATATGTGTTGTAAAACAAGTGGTGAAATTAAAAATTTTGTACAATCGACTTCAATATAAATAAAATTAGAACATCATCAATGTAATCGAAGTCAATTAAATACGCATTATTAAGGATAACTCAAAAACTATATGTCAGATCTTGATAAAATTTATATGGGACCACGTGAGAAGCACTAGCTTTCACGTAAAAAAAGAATCATCAAAATCGATTCACCTAGAAAAAAGTTCTGAGGTAACACACAAAAAAAACAGTCGAACTTTTTTTAATTTTTTTATAAAAAAATACTAGTAATTAAATATAATAACCCTTTAACCACTTCTGGTAAGCTTAAAATGCATGTGTTAGAAGTGGTTCACGACAGTAGTCGAATGGCTGATTCGAACCCACGACCCTTTCGAGTTCGCGTTCCGCGCCCTGCCATTTGGCTATTGACTCCTCCTTTTTTTGAAGTTGATTGAAAATTGATTAAACTTAACTGGTATGATGTTGATGATGGTGCTCTTTCGGCCAAACCTGAGAGCTGATGAAAAGAATGAGAAAGGTAAAATCCTACCTACACTTAAAATGGTGCTCCAAAGTGCTTAACTGTTGCAGTAAACAATAACAGCGAAAAAATCTCTCAATTTACTATAACTAAAGCGAGAGTTAACAGCCGTTTAATGGCAGTGTAAGAGAACCCTCTACATAACAATTTCATCCCGTTGGTGTCGTAAGAGGCGATAGAGGTAAGTAAAATAGGAGATGCTGCAGCTATATTAATAGTATGGTTGTAGCACGAATGGGTCAGCCGACCGGGGAAGGACCACGCTCTCACAGAATACCAGCGTAAAATAGCAGCTTAGTGCTGCTGTGTTTCGTATGGTGAGTGGTAGAGAACCGGAGACCCTTTTTACTGGATAAGAGGCATTCCATCTTAGTCCTCACGGCTGACAACGCATCTGCATTATAATTCGCAAACGAAGATAGATGTAGATGTCTATGGGCTACAGCAACCACTCACCATCAGGTGGACTGTGTGCTCGTTTGTCACCCTTATTCTATAAAAAAAAGATGCGCAACAGCAACTTCCTGATAATAGCCAAAAATAATTTAAAAAAACTGCGGTTGTCAACCTAAGCATGGCAAATATCTCCCTTATGAGGTATTTATGTAATCTATGGGTAACGCCTATGATCCGCAGTAGACTTTTGATAGGCTGTAACAAATTAATTTACTCCGACTGGGATTTAACCCTGGAACCATGACTTAGCAGTCCTGTCATCAAGTTTAACAGCTTAATTAAAATTCAATGATTACTTAAACAAAATTAAATAAAAATTAAATTATTTAACATTTAATGTTATTGTTTACTTATATTCATTCTGCGATAGGTGCCTGAAGCTCTTAAGCCGTGGATGCCGGAACAGTATCAAGATCTTATACCTTTCGTGAAACCAGCTCCAATCGACTTGGAAGCAGCCGCAGCAGCCAAGAAAGGAAAAAAGCAAAAAGAGGATAAGAAATAGAAGTGCAAGTCTTAATAAAGCATACATTCCTGTGCTAGTGGCTTGTTATTTATTTATTTTCTCATGCTTCAGACTTTTATATATCAATAAATGAACTATAACTAAAATAATTAAAGTTTATTTCATCTCGCATTTCCTTTCTTTATTAGTTCATAATTATTATTTTGATACGATAAGTATTGATATTTAAAAATAAAAGTAAAATATATATTATGTGAAATGTTATGGTGATTTTTTTTTTGGACATAAACCTGATGCTGAGAATATTCTCTAGAAACCCGACCCTCAATTGAGTCTCTGGAGCGACCCGCGTGAGCTGGAGGAGGTCGATATCGCACATCAGCGACAATAAGTAAATTCCCTATTTCCATCATCACCTTATTTCTTGCGAACTAGCTATATTGTCTATTACAGATTTTTAAAATATGTTAAAGTATAGTCTACAGAACACTATAAATAAACGTAGTAGAGCCATGCTGGAGCTATATCGATTGTATAGTTGTAGTACGAATGGGGCCGCTGAACCGGGGAAGAACCACACTCTCACAGAATTCCAGCGTAAAATAGCAGCTTAATGCTGCTGTATTTCGTATGGTGAGTGTAGAGAACCGGAGACCCTTTTTACTGGAAACGAGGCATTCCATCTTAGTCCTCACGGCTGACAACGCGTCTGATTTTGTTTCGCAAACCAGCACAGCAACCACTTACCTTCAGGTGGACTGTGTGCTCGCTTGTCACCCATAGCCTATTAAAAAAAATTATTAACTATTACTCTTTACCGAGAGATACGGCCTATCACTAGTTTATTGTATACAAACAGTTACTGTAATACCATAACATCTTATTTAAGTCCACTGCTGAACATAGGCCTCTCCCATAGATTGCCTAATTGGCATAGTTGCCACCCTTCCCAAGGGGGTAGCAGCTGCTGCCCATCTAATTTGTTTCCCTTTGTCGCGTCTTACAAACACATTTTCCAAATAAAAATATTTGAAATAAAGTGTTTCATTTTGTAATCAATAATATAAGATCACATAATTTACTAAGACGATAAAGAGTAAAAGGTCCCGAGTCGGGCCAATAAATATCAGTTATTGAGTTTTCTGAGAAGAAATAATAATTCTCAGTAGCAGTTAGTGCGTTATATAGTGTAAAAATATTGTAATGCATCTAAAAGCACGTAAACCCGTTAATCCTGTGCCTGGTCTCTCCGGTCGTGTCGGTTTGCCGCAAAGACATTTTTACCGCCCCATCGGACTATGAGAGTAGGGAAAGTGCACCTGTGTTAGCGCAGACATACGGGCACTATCCTGCGTAGACAGCAAGTTTCCGTTGAGACTGGTCGCCATGACCGAAATTGGTATAATAGATGACATTATTTTGAAAAATCGCGAAATACGTTTTCATTTTTATTTACAGAGTACTTTCAATAATGGCTGATTTACACAGGGACAGTAACTGGCTCCAAATTCGAGACAAGTCAGTGCTGACCCGCTACTGGCATAATGTAAATTGATTTGGAGTAAGTACAGCACTGTCGCGCCAGCGCTGACTTCAATATTCCTGCTTCAATATTTTGAAGTCAGTCCACTTCTTCCGCCACCCGCGCCAGCGGTATTGACCTTGTCTAAGGCCGTATACAGAAAGAAAGCTGGCAGCCTATCAGCGCTTATAGGGACCGGTCCACGCTGGTAACCGGCGCAGGCATTTATATGAACAGGCGCCGATAAGCGCCGAACGTCGCCGACAAACTTCGACACGCGCCGGTCAGCGCTGGCGCCGCCCGCCATTTAAAATTAATGTTAAATAGAGAAATGAATATTGACGTGTTGATTGTACGGAAGACGGCATATCAATGGTAACACTTAGATACTTTTTAAAATCGCTTTTATCTATACAAATAAATAAAATTGAAGTGTCTGTTTGTAATATCAAAATTACAACGTTTTACTGAATGCATATGAAAGTATAAACAGTACTTATAACAAAAATACACTTTTTAAAATTTTTGTCTGTCTGTCCGTCTGTCTCTCAGTCTGTCTGTCTAAACTCCGAAACGACTGGACCAATTTTGACGGGACTTTAACTGGCAGATAGCTGATGTCATAAGGAGTAACTTAGGCTACTTTTATTTTAGAAAAATAATTAGAGTTCCTCGCTAAAAAATGAAAACCCTAAATTACACGCGGGCAAAATCGCGGGGAACAGCTAGTTACAAAATAATAATGTCGGTACAAATCTCAAAGTGTTACGCTTGATCTGCTGTTGACTGTACAAGTGTATATTTAAACCACGTTAAAACATTTTAAATTCATCAAATTTCAATTGTTTTACAAATAAATGATGGTATTCTTCGAAACGATTCCTTTTGTCTATTAATAGTATGTATAGCTTATTTTGGCATTTTAAAATACACATTTTCTAACAAAACTAATTCATCGTCCGATGAGTACGACATTTTGCTCGCTCTGCTTCAATCGGCTTGCTTTATGTAACTTTACCAGAATAGACCAGCGCCGATATGTGCTGGTAGATCGCCGCCGCTTACCAGCTTTCTTTCTGTATACGGCCTTAGTCATAGTCAGTCGCTGGCATAGTATTGTAGGGTGATATTGCGTCGTATTATAAAATATATAGATTAGTAAATGAGGGTAAATGAACGCATTTTTATACTCGTATCACTGAATTCATGCTGCACGATACATTTATTTATATTACAAATCTGAGCGGCGCCACATGACATGACACCTACTTCAAGCATTTTAGATAGCAATGTATGGAAAAAATTGGGAAAATTTCGGCAAAAGCAGTTCGGAAGCGCTTTTTCTTTTAACTTGCTTAACAAAATCGACATATAAGGCTAGCTGAGAGGTGTAGTCTCAAGTCTAATGCTAGATAATGTATATATACTATTCCCCATGTATCTGGCTATAATATACCAAAATAATTTTTCAAATCGGACTGGTAGTTCCAGAGATTAGCGCGTTTAAACAAAAAAAAAAACTTTTCCGCTTTATTATATTATAAGTATTATATAATTTATGTTCATCGAAATACATTACATAGTCATGGAAATGTAAACGCTTGTTTACATTTCCATGACTGTTTACTACGTTATGTAGTTCCTTGGGATTTTACCCTTCAGAGCCTAATCACATGACTGCCTCAAGCATCAGTTTTTTTGGATTGGACTGAATCTGCTGAGATGCCTGCCTCAAGCAGCAGGTCTTTGAGATTATATCCCCCCGAGCGAACTTCGATTAATCCTAGATATGTAGACCCTAAGCAAGTAATCATTACATCCGCCAGTAACAGAACTTTGAATAACGACAAAGTTGGGCGTGAAAGCAACAATGAAACTAACATAATTTACTATGCTTTTGAAAATCCTTAGAACTAAGTAAATTTTTTGATTATCCCTAATAAATAACTATCTTACCTTATTTGTATTTTCAATGCTGCATATATTGCCCAGCATACTTCTGGTATTAAATGAGAAATAGATGGTTTCGATACACGACAAAAGTGACCGAAGTTCCGAAATGACATTCCTGAAGCCAAAAATGTGAGTTTTATTTTGGCTAGCAAAGCATCTCTCATGAATGTATCTTGACGTTGAATAGAGCTTGTTATCAATGAAAGCGAATCGTCAAAATTTTTCGACGTTATTCTCAAAGCCAGCTTGAATTCCGCAGGATCTTTAAATTTCAATTGAATTAACAATAAAGCAGAAACTCCAGGTCTATCCATTTTCTTATCCAAAGACGTTTCTTTTTATATATCTCTTCTAACATTTCCGTCAACTCTTTCAACAGCAGATAGGAACATTTTCTTTACAAATATTTTAATCGTTGTAAATTCTGCCATTTCCTTCAATTCGTTTTTGCCTACTGACTTCAATAACGTGCGTACACCTTAAAGAAGTTACCACGACTACTGACTGTGTGTAAACAGTGAGAGTCAGTCCTCATCGCCAGCACTGGCGCCTATTACTGACCCCATGTAAATCAGCCTTAAGTTTCAAATCAATCGCCCTGTAAAATAGAAAGTTATGTAGTTGAATTTCCCAAAAAACCTTTCTTAAAGGCTGCCTACGTCATAAATGGCCGCTACTGTCGAAATTTACTAGGTACGTCAAGCGGTTTGGGCTGTGCAATGATAGATGAAGCAGTCACTCCGGACATCCTCTTTTAAGTCCTAAATTACCCTTTTTATACAGTTTTTGTTATATTAAAACTTGGTAATAGAGTGACCTTGTCTTGTATATTTTCTGAGACTACATATCGTAGGTTTACCTACTTAGGCCCATGAACGAATTACTGACTCTGTGGAGTTGAGAAACTGGTAGTTTGTTTTTGTTCCTCGTGTTTACAAATTGTAGGTACCTACATCACCATAAGTGTGAAGAACGATCCAAGAGCAAGTATATTCCAACGCTATTTAGATGATACCCTGGACGTCAGTCTGAGCGATATTACGACAAGGCCTTAGCCGGAACTACATCGGAGCTTCTAAAAGCGGGTGGAAAATCCGTCCTCCGTGGTGGTATTAATCTAGAGACGTGGAATAGAAGTGCGGTGGACTTGTTCTTCAAGAAAGGCAACAACGCCCTATTGAAGAACTACTGACTGATTTCCCTTCTGCGCCACGCTTACGTGCTGTTTTCGAGAGTCATTACAAATCGTCTCGCACGCAGACTCAACGACTTGCAGTCTCCCGAACAAGTCGGTTTCTATAAAAACTAAGGTCATGTGTAACGTTTGCCATATCTATAAGCTTTCGACAAAGTAAATCATTCTTTACTCTGTAAGAAATTAGCTATGTCAGAAATTCATGGAAATCTACTACGCTGGGTTCATTCGTACCTCGATAACAGAAGCCAACTTGCCGCTCTCAAAGGTTTCATGTCATCACCTGTCACAGTTAAATCTGGTGTTCCTCAGGGTTCACATCTCGGTCCGTTATTTTTTATAATTTTTATAAACGATCTGATTTGCAAACTGTCCAGTCCTTGCCTTCTATATGCAGACGACTTGAAAATATACCGTGATACAGGACTTTTCTGACTGCGGTAAACTACAAGATGATATAGATTCAATATATGAATGGTGCCGGCTTAACGGTATGCACCTCAATGTTAAAAAATGTTTTGTTATAACGTTCACTAATAAGAGATATAAACAGACTTATGACTATAAAATTAACGAAGATTCATTAGACAGGAAAATGGTAGTTAAAGACCTAGGTGTGCTATTTGACTCTAAATTAACATTTCGTGAGCACCAGTCCAGTTACTAGGTTTCATAACGAGATGCACTAAGGGCTTCAAACGGCCTCAAAGCTTCCTGACCGTTTATTGTAGTCTTGTTCGTAGCATTCTTGAATATGCTTGTGTCATTTGGTCTCCCTGCTACACGGTCCATTCAGATAGTATAGAAAGCGTCCAAAAAAGAACTCTCAGAATACTTAGCTACAAATGTGGGTTTGCTCGTAATCTAGTTAGTTATAGTGAATTACTCGACAAATTTAAAGTGACCACCTTACTTATTCGCCGTAAGGAATATGATCTTATATATTTACATAAAATTCTCCATAATAAGATTGATTCCGATTACCTCTTAAGTAAATTAAACTTAACTACAAAGCGCAATCCCCGAATTCCTAACAAGACATTTTACCTGCAGACTTATAATAATAATACTTCCTTTTATAACCCGATAGTAAGAATGTGTCGACTTTACGAGATATCCATGAAAAGCTTCGGCATGGATGTTTTTGACTCAAGATCCAGGATATTCAAAAGAGCAGTGAAACAGTATAAACTTATGCACACTCATTCCCATATCACATAGGTTTTAAGTTTCTTATTTGTATATTTTTATTTTTTGTTTACTGTAATTATGTACATATGTCATAAACATTGCAAAGCGTAGAGTTGATCTCCTGTATTTCATATAAAAATGATGTGTCAACATATTTAGGATAACAATCTGGCACAAAACTGTTATATTTATATTATATTGTAATGTATTTTGATTGTTATCTGTTTTGTTGTCCATATAATAAATAAATAAAAAAATATATCTATGTCGGTAGTTGTTGGGAGCATTAAACTCGACGATGTCGACGAGTACGTTTACTTACGACAAATAGTTCGACTAGGTAAGTCCAACTTAGACTTGAGAGGTCAATCGACGGATTCAACTCGGTTGGGTTGCGTTCGAAAGATTACGACACATCTTCTCGTCAGGACATAAATCAAAACTTGAAAACAATATTGTATAACCAGTGCGTTTTGCCATTGATGACATATGGTCTGATCTGAGACGTGGTCCTTCACTGTAAACCGTATGAGGAAGCCCAAGGTCGCTCCGCGAGCTATGGAGAGGTCTATAGGGTTTCTTTTCTAGACTTAGAAATGAGGATATCCGCAATAGGACCAAAATAACCGACAGTCCAACGGATGAGTAAGCTCAAGTGGCAATCGGCCGGTCAGCTCGAAAAATCTACAACCGATGGGGAATAAAGGTTCTCAAGTGGCAGCCTTGTACCGGCAAGCGAAGTGTAGGGCGGCCCTCCACTAGATGCAGTTACGACCTGATAAAAGATATGCAGGAAGTCGATGGGTGCAGGTGGCTTAAGTGACTTGTGGTTTGTGACATTCCTTGGGGGAGCCCTTGTTCAGCAGTGGACTTGTAAAGGACAGTAATGAAACATGAATATGAATGAAACATTTTCAATGTTCACTATGGAAGATTATTATGGCGAGATTCTTAATTTTGTTAACATTTGTTAAACTATTCCAGTTGGAATGCTTTTTAAAGGAAAATACTTGAGGAGGGAAGGGGAGGAAACATTTGGCACCGCAACCTAAATGGCCTCCATTAGATTGCATTATAATAAGGGCCTCAACCGGTAATGAAGGGAAGCAATAAATTAATGAACCATGATTATATTAATAACATGCGTTTGCTATTCCCCATGCTGCATTTTAATTAGATAGGTGAAAATTAATAACACCGCATTAATGCATTTACACATTTATTGTGAGAATTTTTACCCATTTGGGTGTAAGGTCTAAGCAAACTTATCTACAGTTTCATACAGACAATATAAAAACGGTTAACAATTATATTATATTACTTATTATAGTGAATAATAGATGATACACAACAAAAGAAATACTAAATAAATCAAGAATAAATGGACTAACAAATTAAATAATTAATCATTGATATTGATTATAGGTGTGTATCCAGTAGTACATCACAGTAGGTATATTAAGCTATCATTAGAAACCAATGAAGTAATTTTTTCTTTTGTCCTGTGACCTGCCAGGATTCTTTCAAGGACATTTATTTTTAACCATAAATCTATCAATCAATCATTCAACCTGTAGAGTAAGAATATTAGCTTACTCTGAGACTGAAGCTTTATAATGATAACTTAAATAATCAGCTTAATTGTATGTTTAAAATTTTGAAAAATTAGCAAAAAATAATACATAAATTGTGTTACAGAAATACACAAAGAATTTTAAAAAAAATCCCTCTTCATAGAAAGTATGACAATAATATCCTCTCTCCACACACACTCTTGTTTATCATTTTATTTACATGGGCAACCGAAGTCCATTCGGCTGCTAAAAACATTGAGATAACACCAATCTAAACTTAGAAAGTAAAATGTTATCCAAATACAAAATCTGATCATTAAAGTATATTCAAAGACCTAAAGAATTTTTTTTATATTATATATTTATATATACAAGGTTTGCCTGTTCAAGTTTGAAGTCATAAGATAATACAAAGTTGGTAAAATGAAACTGAGTGGTATTATCCTCAACACAACTTAATATTTATTTAGTTTGCTTGTCAAAGAATAAGAACATGAAGGCTGAACTCGAAAAAATTTGCAAAAAAATCTAAATATTTTGACTAATATTATAAACATAGAGATAACATGTTACCTTCCATGTCCATAGCATTATTCCTTAAACTATATAATAGGAAATGAATATATAACAATACACATGTCACATCTCAATGATTTAATCAGCTTGTTAATTGAAGGGCTAGACCATTAGTTAAACAATAACACTCAATAAAATGTTTAGCCATTTAGTCTAATTACAATGATGCATATAACATTAAACATTTTGGCTGACCACAGGCCAGCCCTTTAAATATTGCTTATGTATCATGAGATGCCAAATCCAAGTTGTTTAAATTAACATCTTATATTCAATGATTTGAAGTATTTTGGCTTGGCTTTCTTTAGGCATTCGTTTTATATCTATAAATTGTTAGATACTGGCATGGTATTAAATGAAATGGCTAGCCAACCAATTAACTGGTTGATTAATGTGTGACATACATATTTGGTTCATTGAAGTTGTTTCATAAAACCACTACATCTAAAGCCTTTTAACCATGTTGTTTTATATAACTTCTAATATTGTAAAAAAACATGAGCAAATATTTTCACTCAGATGTTTCATTAATCCACCTTCACTTCCAAGTTAATATAAGATTTGGTGGAAATATGTGGTCATATTGTATCATTAAAAATGAATTATATTAAAGGATATATTTTTACACGATTTATATACTTTAAAATGATTGGTATGTACAGTTAATTTCGCAGAATTGTTTGTAAATTATAATGATGATATAATTTTGTTATACGAATTTAAATACTGGAGAATTTGTAAAGTATTGAAGAAAGCACTAAGTTTAATAACTCCAAGACTGTATAAAAAATCTTTACCAACATAAAAAATTAAGAATGGAATTTAACATGAGTATATTTGTTATATTGATATTTACTAAAATAATGTTCAGAATCATGTATAAAATATTATTTAGGCCCAATAATTCTATGAAAAAAGCATAACAGTCTTATTCAAACTGTAATTAAATGAATATTACATTTATTATCATATTATATTATATAGGTTTATCATTGCATCATTAACTTAACATTGCTATCACTAGCATGCAAGTTGGGCTTTTTGCCTACATTTATGCATTAAAGCTCTTAATGTAAATTGTCGCCTTGCTAGTGTACGTACTTGTTTTAAAAAGGTATCCAAGTCTATTACTTCCTTACGCAATGCCTCACCCATGTAATATATAGCATCTTCTAAAGTTGCTTCTTCTGCAAATGCATTTAAGAGCTGTGAATATAATGGAGCAGTGGTCACAACTGCCTCATCAGCTTCAACTCCATCCTGCTCTGCAAGGCGTTCAACAGCTGCTTCTAATTCCTTTTCTTTTTCTTGGAGGATGCTCAAATTTTTTTCTAGTGATGCTTTCTCTCTTTGTAATCTAGTAAAAATGTCCTCAAGACGAGTTTTACCCTCACAGAGTTCTTGTTGTGTTCGTCTTAAGGTCTCTAGCTCAGCCTGTGATTGTTGGGATTGCTCCTTTAACTTTCTTCGCAATTTATCTGTTACTGCAGATAATAATGATGCTTTTATATGCTCTTCTGTAATTGTACCGCCTACTTCCTCACCAGCCAATCCATAACTAATTGTAGGTGGATAAGGTGTAACTGCTGGAAATTGGGTCCCATTTGTACTATCTGAGCCAGGATATGGTGAACCGTAGTTAGGATATGGCAAATTAGATGTAGTAGGATATGGTGTTGTAGTTGGATATCCCGGCTGTGGACCCACTTGTGGATATGGATAGCCAGATGGTTGTGGCATAAAGGAGTTAACAGGATATGGAGGGCGAGGTTGATTACGTGGTCTAGCATATACAGGTGGTAGTTCCCCAAATGCAGCTATCATACTTTGCACTAATCTTTGGAGAGTAGAACCAGTAGGTGACCAAGTGTGTAAATAGGGTAAATATATTTTCCCGTTATTATCCACCCATTTAGAGGTTTTGATAGTCATTTCAGGCGTCGGTTTAACAAAACACAACGGCGCATTTTGAGGATGAGTATCCATTAGCCAAATACTGACGGGAATATTATAAACGGCACCTTTGTAATTAACAGGAATGGTGCCCTCGAGATTGAGTAAATCCTTCCTTGAACCATTATTGAACACAAAAGCTTCTAAGCGATAGACGAGACCGCGATATACTTGAATTAGATTAATTACTTCTCGGGCTGTGTAGTCACGATGTTTATATTTAGACAAGTATTGTTTCAACACAACTTCATCGTTTGCCATGGCAAATGATAATTTAAAGTTATAATATATTTAATATTTAGTTATGTACCACAAATAAATAAATCTAAGGCAAAAATTTTATGACAAAAATCGTCACAAATTCAACTGAGTCAACTGACCCACAGACAAGAAATTAAGAAAAATACTTTTAATCACAGATAACTGTATACTAGTCAGAGAGCTTTAAATCACTTTTAACTGACAGCTGACAGCATAGAGTAGAGTAATATATACCGGAAGCTGACAGGTCCGACCACATAATATGTATAATGTTGTCATAGATTACTGCGACTCAAATTTAATTTTCTTTAGTGTCGTGCTTTGCAAAACAGACGGCGCTTACAAAAGAAGAAACTTGAAAAAAAAGGGAAAAAATAAACACATCTGCTGGACGCGATCCGGGGTCTTTAGATTTCGGGACCGCCCGATTATCCACCTGAGTTATTAAAACCTTGTGCGTCGTGGCGAAATTTACCTTCGTATTCTAATAATATTTTAGCAGTTTTTCATTGTCTGAAAACACAGATAAAATGGCATTTTCTAAAAATAAATTATGTTCAATAAATATTAATAACAATTTAAACGTAACCAGTGACCACTACTAACTGCGTAGTGCGCGTGGATTATTGCGTATGCATAAACTTAATATATAAGATCCCTCTATTGAGATTAAAATAAGTCTAGCCTAGCGCTTCGAAATGTAGATAAAAGCACATAAAACGTATCATTTTGTTCGTAAAATAATGTTCAAGTTGCATCCCCATGAATGTTATAATAGGGAGTGTTCCGACTTCCGACATACACTGTGAACTCCGTGACCGCTCTAAGGTGTGACTAAAGATAGAATATAAATACAATTTGCAACTCAACAAAAGTTACCAACTTTTGTTCCGGTGTTTTCGCACCGAATTGAAACATATCGCCAACAATTTGAGAAACATTTTTGTTGACAACTTGCTGTCTCCACCAAAGTTTTGTTAGCAACAATATGTCTTTAAGTGACGATATTATGCAGACAGCCGCAGTATTTATAATTTTATGAAATAAAAAAAAACACCAGTAGTTTTGGAGTTATCCTTAATAATGCATATTAATATTGAAGTCGGTTAAAGGTAACATTTTTAATTTCATAAGTTGTCTCTCTTTGTCTCTTTTTAAAGAACGTTACCTCCACACTAGGATTTGATCCTGTATCGCAGGAACAGTTTACATACATAGAACAGACCTAGAACAATTATTTGTAGGCCATACAAAAATACTGGTTCCGTCCGGGATTCGAACCCGCGGCCCTTGGCGCGGCGGGGACGATCTTGAACATGTAAACAGACTGCAGACTTCCCAGAACGTCAGTGGTTCACGTCGTCGGTCTGCGTAAATAGGACTAAAAATAGCCGGGCTGTGACATCGGGACGTCAAACATCTCAGTCCCCCCCCCCCCCCCCCCCGTGACCATGGGTTGCTGTAAAGCACCCGAAACGTCGGAAATTAAAATAGTAAATTAAATGCGATAAAATCTGTAAAAATAGTTTCATTCAAATTGAATTCTTTGATATTAGTTGGTAGTAGACTACACCGATGGAACATTATTGTTTAATGTGAGGAAGGTTAACATACAACATCGAGAAAACTTAAGATTATAACAACGTGAACGTCTTTGAAACTCAGATAATTTACCTGATGTACCTGAAATGAGGCATTCCATCTTAGTCCTCACGGGTGACAACGCATCTGCATTTTGATTTGTAATAGAGGATAGATGTAGATGTCTATTGGCCGCAGCAACCACTTACCATCAGGTGGACTGTGTGCTCGTTTGTCACCCTTATCCTATAAAAAAAAACCTATTAAGAATTTTTAATGGCCTTCAAAAACAGGAGGAGGTACTCACTTCGACTGTATTTTTTATGTGTGTTACGTCAGAACTTTTTCATAGGTGAACCGATTTTTAGAGTAGTTTTAGATTTATCCTTAATAATGCGTATTAATATTGAAGTCGGTTGTACAAAATTTTATTTTCCTTAGTTCTCTTTTTCTCTCTTTTTAAAAAGGTTACCTCCACACTAGGATTTTCTCCTGTATCGTGGTGGCAGTTTACATAAATAGATTTCACAAAGACAAACATCCACACCCAGAACAATTGTTACAACCCTTGTTACGTGAGGGATTAGATTTTTAGAAAAATAGTGCTGACAACATAGGCGAATCATAATAGTGCTGTAAATGTATATCCTCGAACAATTTTACCGATATAATGTTTATCGATATACTATTTATCTATATTTTTATACAGGCTGTTTGTGAAACGCTCCCGTAAACGAAGACAGACAATAGTACTAACGATACCTTTCATGATGGGTCAGAAATAAAATCGATCACGAGGAAAAAAATTATCTTTTCACAACATTTTATTAGCTTTATTCAAGCTCCATCATGTTAGTACAGCTAAATGAAACGATAATTTCATAAAAAGTCCAGCTACTTTACAGTCGCTTTCAAAATAAGTGCTCATTATAGCTAACTTTGTAGATGAATCTATAAAAAAAAATAATTCCTGAGTTTCGTGGAACACTCGGTTGGAACGAAGTTCCTTTCGTAGTATATTAGTATTGATAAACGTATTATATTATTGATTAACAAATACAAGTAAATGAATTTCTAGCGTCTATTAAAATGAAGCGTCATTTAAAATAAAATAATATTTCTTTCATGGCAAGGTACTTTTAAGGTAAGGTTAAGTACTGTTAAGATCTTTCAAGATAAGGTTTTTTACATGGTAGGGCCATGATGTAGCTATATTAATAGTATAGTTGTAGCAGGAATGGGTCGGCTCGACCGGGGAAGGACCACGCTCTCACAGAATACCAGCATAAAATAACAGCTTAACGCTGCTGTGTTTCGTATGGTGAGTGTAGAGAACCGGAGACCCTTTTTACTGGAAATGAGGCATTCCATCTTAGTCGTCACGGGTGACAATGCATCTGCATTTTGATTTGTAATGGAGGATAGATTTAGTGTCTCTAGGCCGCAGCAACCACTTACCATCAGGTAGACTGTGTGCTTGTTTGTCACCCTTATCCTATAAAAAAAAGTAAGAAAAAGTGCGAAGGAGATGGATAGTATTCCATCTCGCTTCCTTATAGCTGCCAAGGCCGTCCATACTACGTCAGAAGGAGTCGTGACGGAAAATTCCTCACTTCTTTTTTGTCTAGCCCCCATTCGCCAAATTAGTACCGTCCGATAAGGAACTTCGTTCCAAAAACTGTAAATACTTATAATCAGGTTATTACAAATAACTTCGAGTTTGGTTACATAATGAAATTCTTACCAAAATGTGACTTTTGGGGCTCATACCCACGAGACGGTTTTTTGCCGGAGCTAAGCCCGGCGTCAAACCGGGTCTACGTCTGGTTCACCGCGCAAATGATAGCGCCAGCGTCGTGTGATTGGCTTTATTGGCATAGTGTCCCATACAATACTGACGACCGGACGTAGACACGGTTTGACCCCGGGCTTAGCTCCGGCGAAAAACCGTCTCGTGGTCATAAGCACTAAAAGGATGTTATCTTTTGCCACATATAAAGGAAATCTAGTTAACATACACATAATTATGGAAGCTTTAAGTCTACTGATGGAATGACAGTTCGTTTTAGTTGAGTTTAAATCCTGGGATTTGCAATGTATGCCACAAATATGTTTTAACATGTGCAGCTTTTCAATAGGTACATCTGCCAGTTCTTCATTCCCAATCAATTTCACCCATTGCTTACATCTGAAAAAATAATATACATAAAATCACATTTTATTGAAAAAAAAATGTAAGCCGCCACAATTAATAGGTAATATAGTTTCTAAGTATAGCTCGTTTCCGATTGTCACCACATACTACACCACATACTCACACATACTTTTCATCATCTAAGGGAATATTATGTACAGCCTTGTCTTGTTATTATTTTCTTCGCTTCTTACACTATCCAATTGGCATGTTTTATAATGCATATTCGATTTTTTAATAATTCTGTAACTGAACAATTGCTCCTATAGCAAAATTAAAAGCAATCTAAATAATGAAAATAAATATAAATGTATAACATGGTAAATTATATGTAAGAAATAGTATGTTGTATTGTTCATTAAAAATGTGATATTATTTATATTATTTATTCAGATGTAAGCAATGGGTGAAATTAGTTGGGAATGAAGACCTGGCACATACTATAACAATTAAAAAGCTTCGTATGTTAAATTTTATTTGTGGCAAACATTGCAAATCTGAGGATTTAAACCAGCTAGCTTGCTACATATATATATATATATCTATGATTTAAACCCAACTAAAATGAACTGTAATAGGGTATTTTACATCATATAAAAAAAAAATTACATATTCATGATAGATTTTGCAAAAAGTAAACGAGAAATATTGATTTCTATTTATAAAAATGCATTTTAAATTTAATATTTCAATTTTAAGAATGATTTTTTAACTCTGCCTTAAACCTGCAAAACGTTGTTGGCCATATTTTCAAGTTATCATTACGATTTTTGAGTTTTATTCCGAATTTAATTCAAATTCGTTGAACAGAACTCATAATCTTATATTATATGTAATTTTCAATAATCTTTATGACATTTTGAAATCAAAGCGAGTTTGTTACTTCGCTTACAGCACTAATGGTATAGATATATTATAAGCGTAGGTGAGTAAAACTTTTTGTTATTTTTTTTTTTGTACTAACCATGTCATTATTCCCATATAATAGAAGAAAACAAGAATTAAGTAAAATGGCACACAAAGGGCAGGACAGACGAGCGATTAACCTAATCTATTACAAAATTTGACTTGCAATAGGTCATGCACATATCATGTCATGATGTTTTGTTATGTATAAACTAATAAGTCATATTTACATCAAAGTGATTTTCACAGATGTATAGTTTAGATTTTGTAGACAATGCATTCGTGTCTCTTCTTGCTAGTTTTAACCAAGTATTCCTCA